TGGTCTGGGAACGCTCGGGCCAGAGGAGTTGGCCGACCAGAGCGTGGAAGGTCACTGAGCACAGCCCCGCAAGCGGCCTGTGCTAGCAAAGAAGCACAGCCCCGAATGTCAGGGACCACGGAGGCCCCAGCCCGCCAGGACGGCGCACGCAGGTGTGTGACTGCCACAGGCCCCTTGGAGCGCCCGGAGCTCCAGGGCAAAGTCAGAGCAGACGGTGCTCACTGTCCCTGCTCCAGGATGACACCCAGGCCTCACGTCACACACAGGGTGGGAAGGAACTCACCCAAGCCACAGGGTACACAGCTGACGCCGCTGCCTGCCTGTCCCCTGGTCAAACACAGGCTCTTCTCTCTGCACGTGCTGTGCAAAGGTGGGCAGTTTTTCCGTCCACCCCTCGTTAGCTCTCTACCTGTAACTCAAGGGTTTACCTGAACCTTCCAACAGAGGATGGGATGGAGGCAAAGCTGGCCTCCCGCCGGCACTGTCCACCCCAGCCGGCTCCGCCTCCCCCGGTGGGACCCACCATCGCTTCTGCCCGCTGCCCTTCTGTGCAAGTGTGGCCGCGAGGGCGTGTGGACACGGGCGTGCATGGACAGTGCAGACTCTGCACACGCGGTGTCTACATGTGTACTCGTGAGCACATGGGCACACATACATGCACACGCAAGCGTGCCTACACACACGTGCATACATGCACACACGCCTGGGGGCGGACCACGCGGCGCGTGCGGGAAAGGAAGGCGGAGCCGCAGTGGCGGCGACAGCCAGCCCCAGGAGCAACGGATTTAAATGTAGAAGCCTGACGAGAGGGCGGACGGGAGAAGGGCGGGAGGCTCCGCGCAGACTGGACCGGCGCTGGGGCTTGAACCCGCGGCCCCTGGACGGCGCGGAGCATGCGCGGAAGCCACGCGGGCCGAGGGCGGAGCATGCGCGGGCGTTCCTCCGCGCGCCCAGGGCCCGCGGCACCCACAGCTCCTAGCGCGGGGCCGCCGCCGGAAGTCCGTGGGCGGGTCTTCCTTCCTCGTCCTCTGATTCGCTACCAACCACTTCCATTTCCGCGTAGGGTTCCGAGCCGTTCTCCGACCGCGCGCAAGGCGCGTCGCTGTTTTGTTTCCGGGGGAATCCAGTGTGCGGAAGGACGCAGGGGACTTCCGGAGGCCCCTCCCGGCCTCCTATTGGCTGGCTTCATGAATATATTAGAGCCCAAGAAAGATAGGGTGTTTTTTTTTTTTATTCACACGCTGAAATGAATACAGACCATTTAGTGTGACCGGCGCGACCCCCCACCCCGTCCCGACAGATGCGGGCGCCT